GTAGGTAGTGGTGTCCCCGAGTCTTTGTGCTTCAGAATGAAGGAGTGAACGCTGTGCATATCTCTATACATTCTTTCGGGAAATATTTATGGCCTATTTCATCGGATGGCGATTAAAGCGAAGAAAAGCGTAACGCTGAACTGGTAATGAGTTCTGATCAATGCTTTACGTAACACATTTCGTCTGAACACTCAAGCGGTATTCGATCTGGCTTACAACACACGAATATATTTACACCAGAAGCTAAATGCGGTAGCCATGGTACTGTGTGTAGAAATGGTATTACGTGAAGCATGAGACGAGTCACAAGTTCTTCCGCTTTACTGAACCTCGACCAATTACAGTCGGGAAAACACCGCACGAAAGGGATATACACTTCTTAATATGACATTTACTAAACAGTTTATCGATACGTTTAGGCCTATGGAAATCCAATGCTGATACGGAGGCAGGGGAAATGCCGTCACTTTAGAAGGAGAAGGCCTAGGGAATCAGACATGACAGACAAGGGGACGTTAAGTATACGCACACATGTACACAAAGGAGCATTCATGAGCGTCAAATACACACACACGCACACACACACACATACACACGCACACACACACACACACACACACACACACACACACACACACACACACACACACACACACACACACACACACACACACACACACACACACACACGGATAAATTGACAGGGGGCGAAATGTGCACACGCATCGACACATACATATACGTTAAATCAATTCAGTAAAGTGCTCGAGAAACTTCCTGTGTCATGTTGTGTGATTTCCTCCGTTTGACCTAATTTCTGTCATGTCCGAGACCAGTCATTCAGAACACCCACCCACACACACACACACACACACACACACACACACACACACACACACACACACACACACACACACACACACACGTATTTATATTTGCCAATCCATATATCAATCTGCCTACACACGCCTACCTACACCCACACCTACATACTCCCCCCACACATGCACACAGATACCCCCCCCCCCCACACCCGAGCTCACACACACACACACACACACACACACACACACACACACATATGTACATATGTTAATACAATACATATGTATACACACACACACAAACACACCTATACCCACCCTCCCCTCAACACCCACCTCTATACGCTCCCCCCCTACACACACACAGATCTATACCCCCACCTCCCCCCTCCACACACGCACACACATACACACGCACACCCTCTTGTACTCAGCTTGATCGATAAACTGTAACTTACAAGAGGATTCTCAAAGTATCAAGATTGCCTCCGAAATTAACAGTGCCATCTAGCGTTTCCAATGAGTTGTTACTTTGCTAAATGCTCACGAGTCAGGGAATCTGCCGATGTCTGAAGGGGGAAAGAGAAAGGGGGGGGAGAGAAAGGGGGAAAGAAAAGAGAGGGGAAAGAGAAAGGGGAAGGAGAAAGGGGAAGGGTAAAAGGGAGAGAATAAAGAGGAAAGGGAGAGGGCAAAGAGTAAGAGGAAAGAGAAAGGGTGAAGAGAAAAGGGAGAGATAAAGAGGAAAGGGAAAGGCGAAGAGAAAGGGGAGAGAGAAAGAGGAAAGGGAAAGGGGAAAGATAGGGAAGAAAGAAAAATGAGAGAAATGGGAGAAAGAGAATGAGAAAGAGGAAATGAAAGGGCGAAGATAAAGAGGAGAAAGATAAAGGGGAAAGGGAGAAAGAAAGGGGAGAAGGAGAAAGGATAGAGAAAAGGGGAAAGGAAAAGAGAGAGAGAAAGGGAAAGATTCAAATAGAAAAGGTAGGAAGAGGCGGATAAAGGGTAAAGAGAAAGAGCAAGAGAAAGGGGAAGAGAAAAGAGAAAAGGCAAGAAGAAACGGATAAAGGAAAAAAGAGAAAGAAGAGGGGAGAGAAAAAGGAAGAGAGAATCGATTATGGGGAAATAAAAAGGGGAACAGAGGAAAGAGAAAGAGAAAGCGTGACAAGAAATAGAAAGACGAGAAAGAGAATGGGGAAAATGGAAAGAGAAGAATAAATAGGAGGAAGGAGAAAGGGAAATAGGGGAAAATAATGGGCAAAGAGAAAGGGAGAGAGAGGAAGGGAAGGAAGAGATAAGATAGAAAAGAGAAAGAGAAGAATAAGAAAAAAAGACAGTGATAAAGCGAAAAGAGACTAGAAAAAATAAAGGAAGGAAAAAGGGGGAAAGAGAAGAGGAGAGGAGATAGAAAAAAAGGAAGAGGGCAAAGAGAATGAAGAAAAATGCAAATGAAGGAGAGAACGGGAGAAATTAGGGGAAGCGAGAGTGGATAAAGTAACGAGAAATGAAAGAATGGAAGAAAATATGGATAAAAGGGACAAGAGAAGGGTAGGATAGGATAAAGAGAGGAAGAGAGAAAGAGAGGATAGAAAATAGTGAAACAGGCCAAGAGAAGATGAGAAAAAAGGAATAAAGAGAAGGAAAACCGGGATAGAATATAAAGGAGGGATAAGAGAGAGAGGAAAAAAAAGACATAGAGGGGATAAAACAGGAAAGGAGAGGAAGGGAAAGGAGGGAAAGGAAAATGGAAAAGTGAGAGAGAAATAAAAAAAAGACGGGAAACGGTAGATAGAAGACAGAGGGATAGAAAGAGTGGGGAAAGAAAGCTGGGAAAAGTAAAAGGAAAATGAAAAAAGAGGGGGAAATAAAGATGATAAATGAGGAAATAAGGTAGAAACGAAAGAGAGAGAGAAAGGGAGAGAGAATGGAAAGAAGAGACAGGATGGAAAAAAAAGGAGAACAAATTTAAGAAAAGGCGAAGAGAGGATGAAAAAAGAGAGAAATAAAGAAAAGAAGAGGACAAAGAAAGAGAAAAGGAGAGAACACCTTAAAAAAAAGGAGTAAAGAAAAAGAAAAAGAAAAATACAAAACCGAAAAAGTAAAAAAAACACAAAACAAACGAAAAGAAGAATAGAACGGACCTAAAAAAAAAAAGAGAGAAGAAAAGAGAGAGGAAAATAGGGCAAGAAAGAGGGAGAAAGGGAACGAAGGAGAGGTAGGGCAGAGGGAGAGTTTCTGGAGGCTATTTTATACACGAGAGATACTGGCTTGGACTCCATTCAGTCTCCTTTAGAAAAGCGATAATGACTCCGACCTGAGGGATGAAAAAAAGAAAAAAGGCTCGGATATCCTGATTCATATATATATATATATATATATATATATATATATATATATATATATATATACATATATATATAAATGTATATATATACAAGTACGCACGTACACACACACACACACACACACACACACACACACACACACACACACACACACACACACACACACACACACACGTATATATATAGATGAATGTATGTATTTGTTTGGGCGTGTGGCTGTGTCTGAATATATGTATGTACGTTATTATATACACATACTTATAGGTATGTGCGCACACACACACACACGCACACACACACACACTATTTTTTTTAAAGAAAAGGAGGAGGAAGAAGTAGAGGAAATCTATAGACGAGAGAAATGTGAAGGATTTCCCCGAGGTGTGGTAATATAAGAGCTGTTATCGTTATTGGTATTGGATGCTCATAATGAGACTGAAGAGTTTCGGAATACAGGTCGAAACGGCTTCGAAAATATATTTCTTAAATCTTTTTTTTTTCCTAGTTTTATTTTTTCTTTCCCCCCCACCCTTTTTTTCCCTCCGAGATTCGTTTTATTTATTTATATTTTTATGTTCATTTCATTTTCGAAGCTTTTGGACGTTTTAGGGTCAAGGAGTGTGAGTGATTATAAAATAAAAAGAGAGAAAGAAGAGGAGTGGTGAATTCTGAGAAAAAGGTTTGTTTGAATCAGTGCTTCAGGTTTTCTTGAAGCCAGTTCGTATTGAGGTTCGAGATGAGGTGAGACTCGGGTTGTTTTAGAGCTTGTTTGAGGAGAACAGGTTGGACGGCTGGGGTCTGAACTTTGGGATTCTAAGCGTTGGGAATTTGAACTTTGGGATTCTAAGCGTTGAGAATTTGAACTTTAGGATTCTAAGCGTTGAGAATTTGAACTTTTTGAATCTAAGCGTTGGGAATTTGAACTTTGGGAATCTGAACGCTGGGAATCTGAACTTTGGGATTCTAAGCGTTGATATTCGGAACATTGGGAATCAGAGCGTTGGGAATCCGAACTTTCGGAATCTGAACATTGGGAATCCGAACACTGGGAATCTGAACATTGAGAATCAGCGCTGGGAATCCGAACACTGGGATTCTGAACTTTGGTCATCTGAACATTGGGAATGTGATGTGATAAAATGAAGCTAGACGTTCTAAATCATAACGAGTGGGAACTGAAAGTGTCTACGGTATATTTGGACATCTCAAGGCCATGATGTCTTGAATAGAAATAGAATTAGAATGCTAAAAATAGTAATGGTTACCCCTACATTCCGATCGCCGATTCTAGCTGTCAAAATGCTCCATGTCAAATAACTTTATGCCGATATTATTTTTTTGTACGAATTCTTTCTTTGATCGTTATCGCTAGGCAGATTCCGAACCGGTCGTTAATCATTTAGTGTCTATGAGTATTTAATCGTTTATCTAATTGGTTATTTAATTTCTAACGCTTATTCAACTAGTTATTTCATTTTCGCGATAACTGAATCGATTATTTAATTTCCCCGATAACTGTGAATTGATGATTTCATTTTTAACGATTATTAAAATTCGATTATTTCATTTTTAACTATTATTCAATTCAAATTTCATTTTTAACGATTATTGAGATTGATTATTTCATTTTTAACAATTATCAAAATTCGATTATTTCATTTTTAAAGATTATTCAAATTCGATTATTTCATTTTTAACGATTATTAAAATTCGATTATTTCATTTTTAACGATTATTAAAATTCGATTAGTTCATTTTTAACGATTATTCAATTCAAATGTCATTTTTAACGATTATTCAGATTGATTATTTCATTTTTAACGATTATTAAAATTCG